TCCAGAAATTGATAGCTAAAGCGATTCTGACTACCAAAAAGGTACGTGTCTGCGGGTGGATAAACAATTAAGGTATTAAAGACTCACTGTTCTTTCAATATGAACAAAACTGGTCCTCAGGGCTATGGCTTAAACCAACATGATAACATTTGCACTGATCAAAGATACATTCGCCCAAGAAAAGTATGTCACTATTCGTATTTTAACCCTACCTAGACCGGGCTTTTTTTTGTACATGGGGGGACCGGGGGGGGCGTCTTTTGTATCCCCCCCCAACGAACTCGCGAACGGTATGTCGTATGACCACTAAATTTTTAGAGGATGGTGAACTCGTAAAAATTTATCATATATACAATTTTTATGTCGTTATGACGTAATGTGATTTTATTGGCCAAAACCGTCTAGATAGGTTTTTCCCTGAAAACTAAATGGTATTCAACATAACTGTACCAAAAGTGATTATGACAGAATATTAGGGTGTACTAAGTCTTATGTTGCCCATAGCAACACCGGTGACGTCATAAAATGCCCGTGCCCGATCACTATTTGCTTAATCTACATTAACTTTTGTTTAATGTAAACACGCAAGGTAGCGTGTTATCAATGCCATATCAGAACGACTTGCTTGCTGGTGAGATGTTTGTATTACAGTGCAATGTTTCACGGTGGTAAAATCTGGGCTGAAAAGTTCCCACATGTCATAGAACCCGAACTGTGTTCGATCGTGTTCGATCTGGGGAATTCGAATCGAACCCGCGTTCTATTTCGGGGTCACCTGCGGTCATTTACTATAAAGCGGCAAAACAAGCCTTTCTACCTCCGTGCATTGCAACAGATTAAAAACGACACTTTTCTATAGATACAAACAGTATCCTGAACATTACATGTCCGCTATTATTTTTGGTGGGTATGTAACATGTAGCGAAGCTACTGTCGTATCCTTGAGTGACCTTGAATACTGTAATGATTCTTTACACCAGTATGAATAACACAATGCACACTTTCTGGCGATATGACATGTCTCCAAAACTCGTTCAAACCTGGAAACATGGAGAGTCAAACATACCCCATTTACGGCTCAAAATGACTGTAACGGTTGTCCCGAAAATCGTGTTTTAGGGATTTTTGAAAAATGGCCTCAATTTTGAATTATGGGTAATTTAGTGAGAAAAATGTCAAAAAATGCCATTTTTTCACCAAAATGTCGACAAAAACTAGACTTAAAATCAGAAATTAAAAAATCCCTAAAACACGATTTTTTGTCTTATTCCTAGTCTGCGAAAAATATAAAAATCGGGGATCTGGGGTAATATACGTAGCCAGGTTTGAACGATATTTGCCTAAAAACGTGACATGACATGTACTCGGAAACCCGAAAATGATCGTCTTTCTGAGCGAAATTTTAAAAAATCATTGATTTAACATAAAAAGCTAACATTTAAAGGATGTTAAGACGATAATTTTATTTTAATTTGACGAAATTTACCCCTAAATATTATTTGTGTATTTTCAAATATTTTACGGGTAGTCCAAAACAGGCCAAAATAGCGTCTTGTAACCCGATACCTTTTAGAACGCGCATAGCAATGGGAAAGAATGCCGTAGTGACAGACCGCCGTGTTTGTGTTTTTATATTTTTTGCTGCAGTGCACTGCCTGGTCCCTGTGCTGGCCCCAGCAGCAGGTGAGAAGGCAGTGGAACTGAAGCGTGGCGGAGCAAACGTCGCAGGAACCCGCATCCTCTCTCAGCAGCAGGTGGCAATCACCTGCCCTGCTGATTCCCTCATGTACAGTAAAGGAGGAAACGTATTCTGGGAGACAAACACGGATCCACCTCGAGAAACCAGACAAAACACATGTGGACCAGGCGGCTTTGGCTTTGACTTCCCGTCCTGTGTGGGTAGGTTTTAAGCGGACTTTTACAGGGAAGGTTGTAGTTTCTGAATTACACCACGGACGTTCATTATTACACGAATTATCTTTGTTTTAAGTTACATGACAAAGATAAAAAAGTGGTCTCACCTAGAGCTTTGAAGTAGTCACTCTGGTTATCCTCATTGGGTCAGTCTATTAAACAAGGCAAGAGCGACTGGTAGGAATCTGTATGTGAAAACAAACTCAGAAAGTTCTAAATCTAAACTCAATTTTTTTTTTAATTATTGGTACATATAGGATTATTTAACAACCTGTCAGACGGAAAGATATTCATTTGGTACATATATTAGTATTAAACAAAAGTTTACATAAAAAGTATGCTTGTTACAAAGTAGATCTATGAGAATACAGGCTTGCAGGTATCTTAACATAAAATGGGTATTCCAGACACAGCAAAGAATCTTCAAGTTAACAAAAGTCTTTTAGTCCAACCCCAAGTCTATATAGGGTTAATGTTGGACAGTTCCTGGTTTCATAAAACATGCTACAGCTGTATAATCTCTTTATCACGTCTTCGGGTTTAGACCCAGGGATGAGTCTGGATGCATTTTGTGGCTAGCAAATAATGATAATCCATTTTGCTTTCCTTTAGACGTGAGGTATTTCTCTAACAAGTTTCTGAACGAACACGTCCACTTGGGTTCCAAGCCATCTGATCTGACAAAGTACTGCACCAATAAACTGACCGCCTTCGGAGCCAGCATCAAGACTTTCATGGTTCTCCACTCAGATGTGCAGGTAAGTCACGTGTACATGTGCATTGTAGGTACAATCACGTGTACACGTAGGTCAAATGTGAAGGTCATGTGTATAGGTAGGGCATTAATAGGTCACATGTACAGGTAGGTCACATGTGCAGGTAGGGCACATGCAGCAATAGGTCACATGTACAAGGGGGTCCCATGATTGTACAGGTAGATCCCCTAATATCATGCAGGGGACATATCTGGATAGTTTAATCGCAACCTCCTTCTAATGCACTTGAAAACCATTTATGAAATGACCGTTGTGTATAAATTCTTCTGTTTTGTCTTACGTAGTTAAAGGCTCTGAACAGTCTTGTGCAAAGTAACCAGTTTGGAGGTGCTAACATCGCAGCTGTGTCGGGAGTTGACTGGATGGCTCTTTACAAGACAACAGACCAGTACGAAGTGTTCGTGTGTGATCGAACAAGCGGCAGCCTGAAAACCCAGGTAGGTACGGAGTGTTGGTGAGCAGCTATAAACAACCACAATCCTTACTCTGACATGGGCAAAGAACGTACATGGCGTAAATGTTTCAAACATGCATCTTTAAGTTATTACCTATTATAAACAGGTCACATTTACGTTTGGTTTATGTGACTATTTTTACTTTATATGACACCCTTCTATCCATAACGTGGTTAACCATCAGTGGCTTTAAATTTAGGAGGACGTGCCAAGCGGCTTTTTCAGTGTGCCAAATGTTAACCATCCTGCTGCCTTACCCCGCAACAATTACAAAGCTGGTAGCCAAACATCTACTTTAGTGTGAACAGGGTTAACCTTCCTGCTCGATAACCCGTCACCGAAAATGAACCGGTAGCCATGGTTACGTCGATGTGCTAAAGGTTAACCTTTTCACACTTCCTATTCCCGTAACTAATTAAGCAGCTAATCCTGTGTGCTAAAGGGTAATGGTTTGCTGGATAGCTCCATAACAAATAGAGATCTGGTAGCCAGCCAGCTAATTTAACGTGTTAAAGGTTAACCTTTCTGCTTAGAAACTGCACATTTGTTTATTGTTATCTGACCTGTTACCTGACTTGTTCAGGTTTTCTTACAATCTATCTTGTATCTCTTTGCCCAGGAGCTGAAGAAGAAGGTGTTTGTTGGTTTTCGGCACAGTGGAGGGGCGTGGCGCCTCTATCACTATGACTACCGTACCCCTGGAGCGGCTCATCAGCTGGTCTGAGGGGCGTGGCAGTTACCATGGCTACCGTACCCCTTGAACGGCTCATCAGCTGTTCTGAGTACATGTAAAACACCAACTATTTCTCATTTTTATCTCATAGGCTAGCACTGATAATTCTAAAGAAACAGCTGAAAAGCAAACCTTGCTGGATATAATGTACTAAGTGCAGCATGTAGTTTGGCCATATGCTCATCAGAGTGTGATTATGCTTTATGATTGATGTGTTTGTGTCTAAAGCCTTGGTCACAACCCGCCGTACGTGCTTCTGCGTGCTGTCTACGTGCAAAAACGTGGGCAAACGTAGGGCATTCGTGCGTGGTGAGTACCACTTCCGTACAGAGTCCTACGGATTTTGGAGCACGCAGACACGCCGTAGGACTTTAAGTGCATGTAAAACTTTTTCTACGTGCGGTCTGCGGATTCACCACTCTTACACCTTGCGAAACCGTGCGAGTGACGTGCGTCGATGCCACTCCTTTCCCTCATTTTCAGAAAAAACGTAGCAGACGTAGCCTCCCAAAAAACGTAGACAAAAAGCACGCACGGCGGGTTTTGATGGAGGCTTAACAGTGTGATGTTGCCACATTATTTCAATGTAGTAAGTGAAGCTTGTTCGTTGTGATTTGAAACACCTTAGAAATTGTAAAGTTACTGGCACTCTATCGGCACTTCTTTTGAGGTAGCCTCCAATATTTGACCTTTGTCATGTTCTGATAGATTACGTTTCGTGAACTGGATTGTTGCTTGGATAGGCATGCCTAATACTAGTAACAGACCGTACTTCAACGGTATGAGTTATAATACTCTGGAGACAAATCTGTGCGATTCATGCTTTTGACATTTTGAGTATCACCTTTCCGTAAAATCAACTAAGACCAAAGTCTGCAAAATTTACATCAAGGGCAGGAGTGTGACATGAATGTCAAACATGAATATGAAAAATAAATAAATGCTTTTTGGTTTCTTGAGCAGTATGAGTTGTCTCTGTTATTTTTTTTTTAATGACAAACTTGGTTGGAAGATCACGAGAGTATGTGGGTGGCACCATACAGTTAGAGCATCTGGTCACCAAAATTCCCTACTCGGTTGGGTTAAGGCAGCCTATGGCCAACTATGATTAGTATTTCATACATATGGCTGTAACTTTTGATAGCTTAGTTGCACCACAACTTAACTTCACACAGTTCTAGTAGTACTTGAAATACGTTGAATAAAGGTTATTTTGTTTTCACTACTTCTGAATTTTTGGGTTAAAAATCAACATTTTGGTTAAAAAAAAGCTGTTTACTTCATGGCTTTACGCGCAAGCGGTAACAACACCTTTTATCGGGATATTTTACAAGTAGAAAGCCAACCCCCTATATATTATTTTTGTCCGAGGCTATTTTGTTTTAAAAGACAGTTACATTGTTTTTTTGGGCCCAAAACGACAGAAACAGCTATTTTTCTGTCATTGTTCGTTAAAAAATCGCCACAGTTAAAAAATTTCGACTTATATGCAAATAGCCTCGGACAATTTTGATAGAAAAGTGATAATACGTAAACATGGATTACTCTAAAGATGAATTATGTTGTTTCCAGCTGCGCGTAAAGCCGTTTAAGTCATACTCCGTGAATAAAATGCGTAACAACGCGGGTTTACAGGGAAAACATACAAATGACCGCCGGTAACCCAGAATTCGAACACGCGTTCTATTCGAATGACGTCATATCGAACATGGTGGAACATGATTCGGGTTCGAAACATGTATGTGGCAATCGTGCAGACACACGCCCGAACTCGAACATGAATGTTAGCCTAGGCCGCCTTAACCCAACCGAGTAGGAGCAAAAACAACGGACGTCTAATCTTCTGATAAACATCTGTTCACCCGCTACTCCCGACTGTGATCATCTGTTTGAAATACTTCCAATACCTCAAGTACCTTCACCTAGCCTACATTCGAAGCTAAATGTTTAACCTAAAAATGCCGCTGCGATACCTTAGAAAGCCCAAATTTGAACTTAACATTCTTTTTCCACACAACAGGCTGACTACAAAAACAGCATCAAAAGTTATCACGTCAAGTTTTATTCCATCATAAAAATGACACCAGCAGCTCCAAAAAATGCAGATTTTTACAGCTTCTTAACCGATGTAGGTGGCGCTTTTGCGGCGAGAATGCAGTCCCAAACATAGCTCAGCTTGTACATTGTAAAGTGTGACTTGAGCGGTTCTTCACTGGAGTCAGCTTCCTTATTCAAACTACTTCTTTAATCCATCGAATTCTTTTATTGTTTTCTCCCTGTATGTCCTTGGCCCCTCTCCTAGTCTATAATTCAGTTGTTTCAGGCAATGTGGTCTGTCACTGTCGGTTTCTCCCCCTCTTTGAGTTTTTGTGCCTGTTGTTCATGGGACCGGGTGTATGTTACTGTGCCATCGTTATCTGCCTCTTTTATGTGTTGTTTAACCTTTTCCCAAAGGTCCTACCCCAAAAGCGCCACCTACATCGGCTACATATAGCGGCGAACTTCAGTCAAATAACATAAGGCAGAACTTCAGTCAAAAGCTCTCATAGACACCGAGACGTAAGGTAGGAATATTTGGTTTCTATCCGATAATACTGATCACTTTGTGGTAGGAGGATAGGACCAATACATAAAGTCCAGGAAAATATCCTCATCTACGTGTAACTGGTATAAATATTCGCAGGATTTTTTTTTTAAATCACTCGTAAAGCTACAATATATAGAAGTAGTCAGCCAAAATAAAAGGTAACAAAACCATGCCACAGTTTTATAACTAAAACGCATTTGATAAACCATTAAAACATGTAAAACTTGCTAAAACAGCACAACAGAAGCACTTCACACTTTTGAAGTAATATCGACCACTTATCCGACCGATTCATCTGAAATACCATAATTCTAAATCATTTACATACACTTCGTCATTATTTGTGATTTTCGTTTGGTTGTAAATTAAAAGATCCGGTTCCATCTTCATTGGGACGCTTGGAGCATGTATTTACATTTCCATAATCATTCGTTAACGTTGTACACCGGGTTCTGGTACATCTGTCTCGCAGAGTCTCGCGAGAGCCTCGCACGTGGGATCAGTATGCGCTGTTGAAGTAGGCGCTGTGCATTTTGGGAAGGCCATTGATTGTGACTGGCTATATCCATCTTGCGACGAATCTGTCAATGTCAAAAAATGGAAATAGTTAAACGTTTGTTCAATGATACGCAGCAACCTGTGATTCCATGAACGTATGTGTTTTACATTATACCACAATGTGGTTATCAAGGACAGACAAGAGTACTCTTCTAAAAGTCTGACGAAATATGAAGAATCGGTCCGCCCAAACCTGACGTTCAATAAGAGAGTACGGGAAGGGGAGGTTGGTCTGCAGGACAGTGGCCTGTTGGTTACCATAATGGCAACACTGAAATTTCAGGAAAGGCATCTATAGGGGCACCTCGTTCTACCTAAGGATGAACTAAACTGTGGCTGTTCTGGTCTTTATTGACAGTTACACTCGTAAAAAAGTCGTGATTTTGTGACATGTCTCTTACCTTTTTAGCACGCCAAACCACCAGTATTACCAGAATTGTGACAATGACTGCAGCGCCAACACATAGGACTAAGATGTATATAGGGTTGTTGTACCATACTGAAAGGAAAAAATATGGTAATCTTTACAGCTTAAAAAAATATTGTTTTTTAGTACTTGGCATGTTATTACGGAAATGAGTTACAAATATTACTCTCTAGGCTACTCAGAACTTTATTTTGTTGATGTTATATCACATATACAGCATTCAAATGTAATGACGATTACAGAGATGTGCCTGTACCGTATTTGCTATATCGTATCGGTATATATTATGTATATATCTTCTATAATACATTCGTGACTGGTTGAAACTGCTACTTTAGACAGTAACTTTTGTTGTCTATAGACAATCCTGACATTGATGAGATTATAGTTTTTATTCATTTGAGATTAATCAACAACAAAACTATGACAAATATGCTCACCATAACTTTCCCCCTCTCCGGTCACCTCTGAAAACGAGACAGGAATGCATTAATATATACATGTATGATAGATATTTAAGCCATGTGATTGTTTAAATTGTCTGTTTGAGTTGCTGGATAAACGATTAACATTTCAATCATTTTGTTGTTCATTAGTGTCAATGTCAGAAATGCTTGTTATTCTTGGTAACTAAATACTTAAAATTTACACACACGTTAAGCCGACAAAACGTTCTTCTTTTGATATCAAACCGGAAAAAAGACAGAAAATTATTGCATTATAAATTTATTACAAAAGCAACAAACTTTTTAGAAGGGGCAATGTACCTGAGATGCTGGTGACAGTGTGGTCTATTTGCAGACCGCCAATGTTTGCCTTTCCTTCCAACACAGCTAGGACATCATCACTAGCAATGGGTGTGGCCGTGGGTGAGTTAAAACGAGCCATGAAGTCCACTCTAACACTTCCGCGACTGTAAGATAACCAATCAACAAACGTGAGGTAGAATATAAAACCTGTCGTCAACACAGCGCTTAATCGTTATACATATTCGAGCCATGGAAAGTGAGATGCGAATCAAATGACTATTGTGTTATAATACCCATTGACTAAATGTAATAGTGTAATCTCCTAAGGATTCAGTACCATTAAAATACAGCACACATATGTGACACAACAAATACAGAGATATTAATTTTGAGATATTAATTTTAAAGAATAACTTACGAAAAGCCCGTAACCTCCACAGAGTGATATGTGCCCCCAAGGTCGCTGTTCCTGTACACACTATCCAGCTATGGAAACGGAGGTAAAACCAAAACTTGAATTAGTTTTCCTAGAAATGCAAAGAAAAAAATCACAATGGAGTTTTTGGCTATATCTTGTAATAATTCATTCTATACTAACCTCTTCCTGGACCTCTGCAGCCAAATTCTTGAACTCATCAGATGTTTGATCCTCCAGTTCATCCTTCCACTCCCGATTTTCAATCTTTATGACGCCTCTGAACAAACGTGTTTCCACTGAAATGGGTACTAGGACAATAGGATGTGTCGGGTTAAGAGCGTACACAGCGTACACAAGTAACAGAAATAGCATTTACCCTTACTGCTACTACAATCATGTCAAACGAGGTGGCACCGCACCACCAATGTTGTTGTTTTAGTTTACCTTGTGGAGATGTTTATAAAACATCCCGCTATATTACACTTTTAATTACCTTCTGTAGTTGCTGTCGGTGCAGTGCTTGTTTCATACCCTTTGGTTGTTGTCGCCCTTTCTGTTGTTGTAGGGTGAGCTGTAGAACTATTTGATTCCCGAGTTGTAATGCCTGGGCCTGTTGTAAACTCGGCGGTAGACCTGACCAAACGGATCGTGCTTTCATCCACTTTAGTTGTAGATGCTTTTTCAGTTGAAATCCGGTTATCATTAGTTATTATAACAACGACTTTTGTTTCACAGGACAATGAATCTACAGCGTTGTCTCTGGCCTCAACTATCATTGAAACCGCTGAGAAAGTGTTGTTAATCTGTGGTACTTCAGTCGCAACGTAAATCCGACCAGTGGACGGGTCAATGCCGAACAGACTTGCCAGTTCTCCTGTTAGGGACTTAAAACTGTAGGAAACGTCACCGTTTGGACCGTTGTCGGCATCATCTGCTTCTATAGTCGCGAATTTTGTCCCTTTTGTAAGATTGCCAGAAGTAACCTCAATACTTTCATCTTCCGGACACTTCGGAGCTGAGTTTGTGCTTACTTTGGTCACGATCATACGGAAAGTGACTTCGTCTGTTTTCGGTGGTAAACCGTGATCTGACGCCCTGACTCTCAATACGTACGTTCCACTTTCCAAGGCACTGCTGACGGTAACACTACCGTTTGTGGCATCGATGGAAACAAAGGGACTGACACTTGTGATTCCGTACGTGATTCTGGAGTTATCATCGGACTTGTCAGCATCAGAAGCGTGGACAGTAGTCACGTGAAAGCCGATCGGGGAGATGGATTGAAGATTGTACTCGGTTTCAGGGGGGATGCTGATGACAGGTTTGTTGTCATTCTGGTCCGTTATGTTTATATTTACCGTGGCTGTTCCGGTAAGTGTCGGCACTCCTTGATCAAATGCTTCAACAGTGAGACTGAACGACGCGAGCTCCAACGATTCGAAGTCAAACTCAACGACTGAAGTTATGATCCCTGAAGTAGGGTGTACCGCAAAGTTTTCACTGTCCAAACCTGTTTGGGCAAGCCTGTACCTGACCTCACCGTTACGTCCACTGTCAGTATCGTTTGCGAAAACTGTAAGAATAGGTGAGCCAACGGGCTGGTTTTCGGGGATTGTGGCATCATATCTCTCCTTCTGGAAGACTGGGGGATGCTCATTGGGTAGGTTCTCTTCACTGCAGTCCTTTCCTTGGAACCCAGGGAAGCATGCACACCTGTTTGGGGCGACACACGTACCTTGGCCGGAGCAGTCACCTTTGCTGCTGCAGTTTGCAACGTTACAGGAAACGCCTGACCAGCCAGGATCGCAGCTGCATGTGTCAAACCTCACACAGCTTCCGTGGCCTGTATCAAAAAATACAATTCTACAGATATCTGCGGGAACTACTCGTATACAAATAACAATAAAGTGCCAACTATCGCAGTCTCAGTATGATTAACATGAATTGGAATATTACGATACATGACATTGTGCAGTGAATTAGCATACTTAAGAAGTCAGTACTCACCAGAGCAATACTGCAATGCTTCACAAGAGAAGTTGGCACAGTCGTTCCCGGTGTACCCACTGTCACACTGACACAGGTTAGGCTCTATGCAGCTGCCGTGGTTAGTGCAGTTATTCTGTTCAGTACAGTCTGGGTGATCACAACTTGCGCCGCTGAACCCAGGGAAGCAGCTGAAACATCAACGCAACAGAGGAAATCATGTGAGGAAGGAGTATTGTATTATGGTGTCCTCCCTGGCTAATTTGGCACTTTGAACTTTCCATCATTTTCTCACAAAGAAATTTAGAAAGAAGTATAGTTGTACTGAATATTGATACCTGGGTACAAAGGGTTATGAATATGATTTTTTTGGACCATATGGATGACGTCATCACATTCTATTGCCCCAAATGTAATTATCTTTAAAGTTATAATATAGCACTTTGGTACAAGTAACTGAAATAAAAGTATGATTTTCATGTGCATAATGGTCGAAGCTACAAACTTACGTTTGCACAAATTGATATCTACTAATTATCCGTAGTAATTAGAGAATAACCTAATTGCCTAATTAAAATTTAGTTATTCTCTAATAACTACGGGTAATTAGTAGATATCAATTTGTGCAAACGTAAGTTTGTAGCTTTGATCATTATGCACATGAAAATCATACTTTTATTTCAGTTACTTGAACCAAAGTGCTATTATAACTTTAAAGATAATTACATTTGGGGCAATAAAATGTGATGACGTCATCCATATGGTCCAAAAAATCATATTCATAACCCTTCTGTACCCAGGTATCAATATTCAGTACAACTACAGTTCTTTCTAAATTTCTTTGTGAGAAAACGATGGAAAGCTAAAATGCCAAATTAGCCAGGGAGGACACCTTAAAAACAATTTTTGGGAAACTGCTAAGAACACGCTTGGGTGCTTTTAAGGTGCATGAGCACAATTTCTCCTAGAATAGATCACAAACGTGACGAATTAAAAAAAAAAAACTTACTTGCATTCCCTTTGCCATTCAGAACTGTTGACGCAAACCCCGTTTTCATTGCATTCTTGCAGTTCAGGGCAGCTTTGGGCTTCACTGCAGTCCACACCCTGATACCCGCTGTAACACTGGCAGATGTTGGGACCAACACAGTCTCCTTGGCGGGAACACTGGTTAACTTCAGGACAGTCCGGTGTAACACAGGAGCTGCCGGTCCAGCCCTGCTCACAGTGGCAGACATCTATGTCCACACAGCTTCCGTGCCCTGCGTCACAAACACACGTTTTCCTCATTACAGTAATCAATATTAGATTCCCAAAAAGTCAACATAATGTTGCCTATCATCATACATTGTACGCTACTCTATTGTGAGAAAGATATATGGGATATGAACTTACCAGAGCAGAAATCCAACGCTGCACATGAGAACTGGTCACATTTGTCACCTGTCCACTGCTCATCACACAAACAGGTATCGTAGTCCACACACACTCCGTGGTCTGTGCAGTTAGCAACATTTCCGCACGTGGGGATCTTGCTGCAGTCAGCACCTAGGGTGTAAAGAAATTGTTGATTAAAATAAGTGAACGAAAATTGTTGTTTAAGAGATTGGTACGCACACCTAAAGAAATCCAAATACACAATTCAAACAGCATTATGCTTACCGATGTAGCCCGGCTCACATCTGCAGACATCTGTGGTAATGCAGATCCCGTGACTCATGCTGGTACAGTTATTGACGGCATAACATGTCGCTATATGATTTGAAAAAAAGCAATAAAAAATCCAATTCAACAACTGTAAGTTTACTGTTTTACAATTTATATTAATAAAACTGAGAGACAGCAAAATATTACGATGTAAAATAAGGGTGGAGAATATTATAATTTGATGAACATATGCAGTAGAAGAAATATTTTGACGAAATGAAATGATGGTACCGATCCGATCGGACCCGAGACCTTGTTGAACTTTACATCAGTGGTGAACTTTCACAAAAATGACTTATTTTGCGTAGATAAAGAGAGTGATATTATTGTCCTTTCTGTCAAACGAAAAATTATCAATTACCTTGTTGATCACAGGCTGCTCCCTCCCATCCGGGCAGGCACATACAAAACCCCAGCTCACATTTCCCGTGATCCTCGGAGCAGTCTGTGCAGTTTCCAACGTTACAGTCTTCACCAGACCAGCCCGTTATACAGTCACAGGTTCCGTTCACACAGCGACCCCTACCGGAGCACTGGTTTGGACAACCTGAGAGGGTGTAGATATATGAGAATTAAGAGCAAACAAAATATCAAGGTTTTGTTTTCAACATACTTACGTGCAAGGGAGAATGAAGTTCTGATGTAAATACTTTCGTGTGAATTAAAAAAACAACATAGAATACAAAAGATTTAGAGAAACTAAGGAAGCAAAATGCATGTAAGCCGACGTTATACCTTTGAAAACCTCCTGTTCAGTGAAGGTTGTGTCGTTGGTGATTGACACGTCAAAGACGCATTCATTAAGAAGTGTGCCGGTCAGCCCGAGAGCGATACACATTTCTTCAGCTTTCTGAAACGAAAATAAAACATCAAGAACCTTATAAGTTACATTCTGTTTTTTTTTTAATTTACAACAATGTAGGTGATTTAATAAATTGAATATAGTTATGAGTATCTTGTCATTGTGCACGTGTCACTCCCAACATCTCAACATGAAAAGAAATAGAAGCAGTAAAAATTATTACTTCCTTTTGCTCCTGAGTCAGTCCATCTATGCCGACAGAAGGACGGTGGTTCGGGTCAGAATAGGCAGGATCCATGACGTCATCAGGATGGAAGTTAGAAGAGTTCCATGACCAGGACCCCATCAGACCTGAGCCGTAGTGGGTTTTATTTATCCGCCCTAGAAAGTCAACAACAAGTGTCCCAGCAAGTGTCGAAACAAATAGGTGAAAGTGAAGATCTTCAAAGTATGTGTTAGAATTTTTTTATACAATGTAGTTTTAGGCATTAGCAAGTCAACAGAAAAATAAATAAAACGGTTTGGCTCAGTACTAAGAACAGAAAATAATAAAGTAATCAACTGGACAAGGAAAAGAGGTAGGCACAAAACCACTTGGAAAAGAACTCTGGCGGATGACTTGGTATCTTCGAGTATGAGATTATACATGCGATCAGTAAAGAAGATGACCAAGGACTGAATCAGATGGAAGGAGAAAACCAAGGCCTAATGTCTCGCAAGGAACGAAGAGCATGATATTAAATAAGTAACTAAGTAAGTACAGTTCACAAGCACTAAACAGGCGAGAGTAACTATAGAAAGCAATGGTGGCCAGTATTGTTGACAGATGTGAAGATGGTGATACTTACAAGTTTCAGCAAATACAGAAGTGTCGTTGTACACAGTGCCGTCAGGACCAGTGAAGTCATTGTCACCATCGTCGTCCATGAGCCCACACAGTCCCTCCGTGTTGCCCTTGAACGTGGCAGTGGGGCTGAACAAAATGTTCACAAACTGTCGGCCCATCTTTGGTGAATACCGGATGTCAAAGGACACAGTTGCACCTGGTTGTTTGGGATGAGATGGAGATCATTAGAATTACAAAATGTCATTCAGATCATTGCAAAACTCTCGCCAGTTGTAAAGGTACTAGTAATCGATTTATGTTCGCATTACCTGATGCAAATGTGATAGACACGATGATAACAGCCCCTGACTCCGTAGCGTTTGTAGAAGGTTGCTGAGCCAGGAGATGGATTGTTCCGTTGTTCATGGGATATTTCTCTCCGACAGAAAGTTGACACAGTTCACCATCAATCCTGAATCAACCAAATTACAAAGCATGCCATTTAAATAAGTTTTTTATGTCTTGAACTTAACTACTTGTTACCTCAAAGGTAAATCATTATCAATGGGAAAGGTTGATGAACACATATTTACTGTACAAAATCATATTAGCTATACACATAGATACAGTGGAAATCTCACCTTATGTTTGGGACGTCCTTTTCTGTTGCATTCTGTAACGTCATCAGAGTGATAACGCTGTGCCCAGCCTTCACTGCAACTCCACCAATCAGAGAAGCACCTTTATACGCGTACATCCGGGTTTGAACGCCAAAGTCATTGGAGACGCTCTTACAGTCCCAGAACTCACCAATTCCATGGTAGTCGTATGGTTTTCCTAACACGAAGACAACTATTAATACCATCAGAAATAAACGTTGAGGTTATGACTACACTCTAAACATGGTTCATTTATGTTAGGGGGAAAATAAGTTATTGTACATATTGTTTCCCTTTGGGCCATCCTGAATAGTCACGTCTCAATCACATGATAAACAGCAGAAGATATCTCTGAAATAGATTCAGATGCCGTATAAGATAATCAAGGACACAACTTAGGAAACAATCATTACCGTCCAGTGTCTGGAGATGTGGGTCCCCTCCAATAGGACGAGGACGGCGCAGCTCACAACAGTCGCCGAACCACTGACGCGAGCACACACAGGATGACTGACAGCTGTGTGTTGATGTGATGCAACGTCCGTTTCCGGAGCAGCCTATAATTTTTAAATAGTAAAAAATGACATGTGCCACGTTCAGAAGTAAACCTCCTGAACCTCTCTTCTCTTCAGTCTCTGTACCTACAGATGTGTATTCTAAAAAAAGATAGATGAGTAACCTCCCCTTATAAAGATTGTCAGAGTGCATCTTCAATCAGGTCAACTATTCACCCAAACTATTCCTACAGAACCGTAAACAAAGTCTTTATTTCCATTCATTTTTAAATATTGATAGATAATTGTACCTTGGCATGGCCTGCAGTCTGGCTGTCTACAGTCCGGCCCCATCCTCCCCACCACACATGTAGGCGGGATCCCGCACTCTGTCTTCTGTGGACACTTACAGGCACAGTCTTGCCACTCTGGTTCCTCGTCATTCTCACAGTCAGGACAGCTGTGTAAGATTGACAAAGGCATATTGTATTAGAGAATAATGTATGTTCGTACATCGTCTCTTAAACTTAATACATTTCATGTCTTAGGAGCTCAATGATCCAGCGTTCCATCTTATTCAAGAAACGTAATAATCTTATATCTTACAATTTACACATTAATAGTGATCCTGGTGTATCAGAAAGATACTCGGACCTTTTTCTTTACCTATAGGTAGTGTTTTTACTAAATAATCAGTACCTCACCTGTCAGAACAGATGCAGCCTTGTGGCCCCAGAACCGACTCGTGGCAGTTGTTGCAGGTGCACTTACACGGGCAGCTGCCGTCACTCTGCACCGCATCCCTGCTACCGTCTGGGCAGGTGCAGGAACACTGTGAAGACGAGATGAATTTGAAGTCAGTATTGCCTTGACCAGCAATGAGCATCCTGAAATGATGATGCGCAAATCGCTTTTGACGTAGGTAGTACAGTGAGTAATTCGATTCAAAAAAGAATCTCCACCTCGCCACTTGTAATATGGCGTTCAGCGAAACTTGTGTATGAATTCAAGTTAAAGTAGAAGGTACTAAAAGTAATGATTCACTGAAAACTACGACATATAACACAATGAAACATGATATGGTACGTAACAATGCTTACCTCACATCCCCCACTGCTGGTCAGTTCCGATATGCTGTTGTCAGGACACAGACATGGGCAGTGTAGATGCCCCTGACTGTTCACCGTTTTGAAGTCTCCATCGGGACACAGCTGACAGTTACATCCGCCACCGGAAATGTGCGGATGCTGTTTTGAAGAAACAAAGGGAACTTTGAGTAATGTGAGTAATCGTTGAGTAATCATCGTGACTTGCATCTAGGACCGATATGTAATATAATATAATATAATATAATATAATATAATGATATATGGGCCTGTAACCTTTGTTAGCATGTTGGAGAAACCTTTATATCATACATAAGGAACACTATTCATACCGTGAAGCTTATGTTTGCACTTCCACAGTGGCAAGGACACATGCAGAAGCTCTCGTCAGTAGGATGACGCCTCCCCGTTGCTCCACCAGGGCATAAACATATGTTCCTACAGGTGTCAATGCTGGACGGCTGCTCTTGGCAGTCTCTGAAACATAGTAGAATAATTGATAAATGTACATTAGATACTTTATTGTTGTTGCTTATTGAATCATTGATAGACACCTTTAAGTTTACAGTCTTAATTTTGCTCCCATATTAGATAAACATTTCAATACCCAAACATAGTAGCTGAGGCAACCTACATTTTGTTGGCCTTTACATTTTAAAGTACACTCTTATAGGCAGTTGGTGTCAAACAATCAAGAAAGGTTTCTAACCTGTCAGACTCCATCCACTCTTCACGTCTCCATAGTTGTTCCTGATAATACTCGTCGTTTCCAACTGTAACCTTCAACGCTCCTTTAAGATAGTCCATTGATGACGTGACGCCGACGTATTGTGGTCTGTCTGAATACGGGCACTCAGTAGAACAGGACTGGGCTGATACACGCAGGAGTGCTTGGGACTGAATGGAGGTGGTGATAGTGTATCCAAAAGTGTCCTCTTCGGCATTCAAATCTGGACAGAGATAAAATATCGAAAAAAAGACTGATTTTGTTAGCATAAAATTATACTGATATATGGTAACACGGCAGGTAGCCATATTATAATTCACATTTATTCTTCATAATTGAATAGACACGCGCCATAACATGTATAGAAACTGGCGTACCTAGAGGGCTGGTCCAATCATTGACTTCATTTTCTCCAGATGTGGGAAACTCGATGAAAAATCTTGGTTTGACTTTTAGCTCCAGCATGATGAGATGATCACTTTCGATTGCTGCTCCCGAGTAGGACGATATCCCAATTTTTGCACTGCCCTTTATTTGAAAAAAAAGTAGAACTTTGTCAACTGCGAATGGTTTGTAATTATAAAGGTTTTAGAACAGGAGAACAACACAGCGAGTAATTTAAAATTGTCATTAGTCGTAAAACAGATACGTTTCAGGTAGAGATTTGTCGAACGCTTTAATCAATTGAAATATGATTATACAAGCTGTTGGATATAGTAAACCACTCACAGATTCTTTATTCTGGTCAAACTCGAACATTTGACTTCCTTCTTGAGGTTTCCAGCTACCTCCGCCGTCAATGTCAGGTTTGGTCACGGTAGATGACATCTGTATACTGCCTGGACCCTGAAGGATTGATTAAAATAGAGTTACGGTGGACGCAGGGTTATGACAATTTTACATCAAAAGACATATGATTAACATTTTGATAATGATGATAATGAACATTTTATTGACACAGAAATATAATAATGATGATAATGAACATTTTATTGACACAGAAATATACAGCAAAACCAAGTGGATATTTTTAGGAAAAGCGCCTCTCATAGCATTTTGTATTTATTTATTTATTTAAAATTGCAACATGACAACACGAGGTGTGCACTAGGCAGCAAGTATGCTGATAGCGTGCACACCTAACACATACCTGGACATATGACATAGAAAAACAACAATAAATAGTTAGAGCAAAATATATACACAAATAACAATTTTCATATAGATTACACCTATACTTAAAATCAGATATTATAACTATTTTAGTATTTTGTATCAAAACATTGGTGTCGTGGTGGTGTTATGACAATATTGTTTTGGCTGTTGCATTTAAAAACCGATTTAATTGTACCTACCTCAGCAGAGATTTTATACTCTGTGTCGATGTGTGCCCATATTTTGGCCGGTATACACAGTTGTGTGCCTACACACAGGGACACATAGATAGGAGCCAGCTCCGTCCGGAAACTGCCCTGGGTCCATGTCCTAATCGGATGGAAACGATTCAAATCAATAGATACAACACAGAAAGGCAAATATCGCTTAGCACAGGAATAAATCATATTACAAAGCAATATTGTATCTCAGATAACGGTTTCTTTTCCAGCTCATATTGTGATGTTTGTTACGGTAAGGTATTTTTAAGAATGTAAATAAAATGTCTTGTTGGGCATGGGCCATGCCTGGATCCCTAACCTATTTTAGCTACCCCTCCACAAATAGATAATAAAGACTCTAACTAAAGATAGGTTTTGTAAGCAGGTTGTGTTGGACCTACATTACCTCTTCAAAACGTCTAAAGAACCTTCCAGTCCCACTTGTAGTTTTCCACCGATGAAGAAAGCTCCGACCTTTTTAAGCGTTGGTGTTTTAAACTCTGACGTCGAAACTGCAAGCGAGAGCTTGATATCAGCTGAGAGCCGCCCACTTGTAGATAGTTCGATATTGTAACTATCGGTGGAGTCCTGAAAAATATATTGTATTACGCAAGGTTGTACTCACTCTCTCTCTCTCTCTCTCACACACACACACACACGCACACACACACACACACACACACACACACACAAACATATATTGCATTTATATTGCATGCAATATTTAACATTTACAGTCGGAAGTGTCGATATCATTTTGTTTTTGCTGCGTAGTGTTCCTGTGGGTAGATCGTGTCGTATTTCCTTAGTCGCTAAAGTAATTAATTAATGGACGTTTGCAACGCATTAAAAAAAGTAAATATGTGGTATAGTGCGGGATAAATTGTCTCTCGCTTCATTTTTTTCAAAAGTTTCTCCAACAGAAACTAAGCGATTTATTTGTAAAACATGCCAATCTATTGTAAGTTCTTTGAATTTTCCAATATCAAATCTACGCATAGTAAATCTGCGTGTACGGTTTGTCGCCTAAAACGATGTACATATGTTCTTTGCATTTGACGATATTCAATCTCTGCCTATGGGTACCGTTAAACAGCCATACCGAGAATTGGTCCTTGATGACGATGTCCAAAGAATACTTAGCTGGAGACGCGGTAACATCCTCCCGTCGTCGTCTTCTTGATGGCGTTGTCATGGTGGACCTGCTCAGGATAGGCTCCACCTCTACTAATGTGTACTCATCCACTGGGGTGATCTTTAGTACCTAGAGGATTTTCTAACATTAGATTACTATCGTGGAAACATTGGTGGCAACAAAGTAAGGTGTTTTTAAAACTTACAGGTGTTATTGGAATTCCCGACCAACTAACCATCTCACGCTAATACTGACTTTTGCCAGCAGCCTGCCACTCCTTCTCCCCACCACCACGTCGCCAGTCTCCAGGTCCACTTCTCTTCCCGCAGAGTCCACGATGAGCAGCCCGTGTGCGCCCTCCGGTCCGCCCGAACACGGCAGGGAAGCAGGAAGGGTCACCCCGTCCTTCCTCATCAGTTCCTCACGGAAGCTAAGAGGATAAAATCCACCCGATGCATTAATTGTAATCGGTATAGAGATCTATTACACGACTGGTTCCTACATTCCCATACTTCTTGCGGCTGCTTTGCCTGTGGCAGACAATTGTAATAAGAAAGCTGCAGCCCAGCTGGGTACCATGGGATTAAATGACTTCAACTTACTTAAAAGTTGTGAAGCAGTCCTGCAGCTCAGTTTGTATGAAGACACCAAGCGGGGTTGATGTCTGTTGGGTAACCTGCTCCAATATCCCGTTGCTATGGTTACTAACAATGATGTCACCAACTGACAGGTTGACAGGGAGATCTCTCGTCAGCAGATGGTAGCTACCTTCTCCTTCATTCATAGCCCGGGATCCAATACACTTGTAGACAGGGGCATCTGTGAAAAACATTTATGGCAGGTTTGAATGTCATGTGAAAATATTACTCCTAACATCACTCTTACCATCGTACTCCAAAAAAGGTAATATTCAAATGTCTACAAGAAAGTACAAGGTAATGAGAACATCTCAAAAGATCAATACTTTAGTTCTGTATTAAGGATGCTTACCATTATACATAGAGCACCAACCACACCCCAAACCCTCAAACAAACAAAAAATCTGCCGATACTCACCTTCCGTGATGACACAAACAGTTTTCCCATCAAGCGTCCCATTGCCACTCAGCACCCTTTCCACCTCAGACAGTTCAGGAGCTCCCTCGTTCTTCTTCATGTCCACAGCCATCTCCAGCTGAACCTCCTGGCTGAAGTCACTGTAATCCAGCATGTCCTCCAGAGTAGCAGGGTGCGCCACTATCACGGTGTAACTGTCTGTAGCGGAAACGCAAGACAATTCTCTGTTGTTTTGAAAGCTTAGGTACAATCAATATGTTTGAAACCCAAAAAGGATATACGTGCAACATTGTCTCGAGTATACGTAACGGGTACAATTGTTGGTGAAGGTGAGATATCTAAGTAATAAGATTACGCTAAAACAGATACTCTACGTAGCAAATGGATGTGATTTTGGCAATGGTCAGACGTTTTAGGTAGCATCCACTCTCTCGTCAGTAACACAGATAACTTGTGTAGAAATGCTCTAGTTCTTGCTTATAAACCTGCATTTCCGCACAAGTTCTCTAGTGTCACTGACGAAAGGTAGTGGATGCTACCTGAAAGGTCTTCCAAAATTATATCCAGGTGCTTGAGTTACTGTTTTTAAACTGGTACAATCGTTACATGTTTCCCTACCTGTCTTTATTACTTGTTCCACCTTGTGTAGTACACCGTTTGCCTGAGGACTGGACAGCACCTGACCGATCCGAATGTCCAGGTCCCCTTCATTCACAAACATGGTGGCTCCCCAGCTGGAGAAGCGGACAGGACACCGGTACAGGATGTTGTCTTCCAGCGGGACGTACTCGACGTTATGGCCGATGAGAATCTTCTCAATACGCGTGGTGTCGTTGTACAGTGGGTGGATGAAGCCCTTTGGGCATTGATCTTCATTCCACACTTTGCAGTAGCCTTCATCCTAATGAGATGAAACTGTAGACTTACACCACGTAATATACTCCATGTTATAGATCAAATTCCATACGCAATTCCATTTGGTAAAGCATATTATTTATCTTGACAACTTACCAGTTCCTTAAAGCAACCTTCTACATCTTGACATCTCAGACATGACTCCACGGTAGTTCCTGAGAGGGAGGGGTTGCATTGCCATTGCTCACAGTCAAGAACCTAAAGAATTGATATGCGCATTAGTATCTGCATGGCATTCAACAAAGACAAATATATGACGCAAAGAAATACACGTAATGCACTTATTAATTGCCAGTTGTTACTATTAGTTCGCAATAACATTATTGGAGTTTTGAGAAAAACTACCTCTATTTGGCTCGAGCATTTGCCCCTTTTCCCCACAGTGAAACAGCTGTGGTAGAACCACGACGTCGTACATGGTGATACGTCCGGTCCTCTGTACAGCCCGGAATCACAACTCTGTCTTTCTTCACACCATCCACATCCAACCTCCCGGGTACAGGTTCTGCAGTTGGTGAACCGGTTGCAGTAACTGACGGTGCATGCTCGCCCCTAGATTGAAGGAATTTTTCATGTTGATGTGGAATGCAATAAAATGTATATTTGATACCAATCTCGATATATATCCAACATCCAAATATGTCTCTGTTCCTCTCACTCAGTCTCTCTCTCTCTATATATATAATGGTATCTGTCTATATACATATCCAAATATCTATATTATATATCTATATCTATCCTTCTCTCTCTCTGTCTCTCTCTCTCTCTTTATATATATATATAT